GATTCTATGGGTTTTTGATCTCCAGCTAGACCAGAGATAGGAAATCTCCCTTTAAGTTAGCAAACACTTAAGGTCAAACCTAAAACATCTGTGTATTTCTGAGAAAATGGCATCTTTCCCATTTCTCTGCCCAGATCATTTGTCTTACTAACGATCTTTAACTTTCTGTACTTTGCCCACAAGTTCAATAGCTTTGAGCCTGGTGTACCTTTCAGCCTCATCAGAGACAGCCCCTTCCTCCCTTCCATTAGATACTGCAAGCCTAATTATAGGCTTGGGCTGCCTTCAGCCTTTACACAGGAGTTTTTTTTTTTTTTTTTTGCTAGCTTTATTTCTTTTCAACGTTATCGGTTTTCTTGTCTTGCTAAATTCAGAAACAATGTGACTTCCTCAGCTGTAAAACTGGAATAATACCTACTCTAAAGACTTCATAGAGCTATTATGAATAAATAAGAGCCTACATTAAAGCATCTTTGTACACTTTAATGTGTTGTACCAGTGTCAGTTTGCCTAGTAATATATTGCTTCCAAATCACTTTTTTTTGGTCCCCTTTTAAATTTATTTTTTTTACATAGGTCCTACTTACTAACTTCTGCTGCTTGTCCTTCTCTCTGTCTTTTTCATTGGGGTTTTAAGTTTTTTCCCACCAGTCAGCCCTCAGATTTAGAATCTTCTCACTTAAATACAAGGGCACTTCAGAAAGTTCTTGGAAAAATAGAACTGAAAGATGATATGACTCTTTACATGAACTTTTTGACGTACCCTCATGGAATAGGTACCTTTCTATCTTCTGTAGAAAACTTTAATAAATCCCATCTCCTCCAAGCTTCCCAAACATTTTTTTAAACACTACAAGCCACCAACATACTGGACCCTATTGGTTAATTTTAGAGATATAGTTTATTTACAATATACTGCCTAAAAGTCCTTCTTTAAAATGGAGGCAAATGTACAAAAAAAAAAAAAAAAAAAAAAAAAAAAAAAGAAGAGGGCCAATCAAACAGGGCATATCAAAATATCCTCAAAATAACACAGTGTAGATGCTTCCAAATTCTACGCCATTGACAATGATCTGCTAATATGCCCTTGGGAACAGAAATTAGGAAAAGAAGTGATTTCTTTAAATACAATTATTTTTCATCTCTCAAAGAAGGACATATACATTTATAATCATATGCCTTTTGTCTATTTTAATATACTCAATGTATATGAAGAATCATACAATACATGAAGGAAAGGACCTATAGTCATAAGCATTTCTTTTCCAAAGGTATGTAACTACTAGATCTTTTTATGGAGAATCTTAAGGCTAACAGCAAAGCTCCCAAATAATTAGTGGATCCTAAATAACCCGTAAGAAGTAGCATACTATGAAACAAGAAGGAAAGTTTAAACTCAAGCTTTTACTGATTGCATTTTTCTTTTTAAAAGTATGTATATAAATATGAGAAATCAGGGAGGATTCTAATAGATTCAAGAAAGTGTGGGACTGGGAAAAGCTGCCAGATACCATCTTTTCTAGGAAGAGTTATTTGAAACTCCTGCATAAAGTATAAATAAATTGATTTCATTTTGTTCTTTGTTCTCATCTTTGTTTGGAATTCCTCAATTTCTTTTAAGCCTATTTATCCTGCATACTGACAACTGCATTTGCTTTAGAAGTTACTGCATGCCAGGAATTTGGGATCCAGCACTCTGTACCATTTCAGGGGACGACCTCTTCTCCTTGCCTCTAGGAAACCTTTCCCAGACTACGTAGGAAGGGTGGAGCTGCATTTGATTAGACATGACTGAATAAACAGCTGTCTTAAAAAATTTGTCATAGCAATTAATGAATAATTATGTTATAATTAACATAATTATTAGTTATCGATTCATGGCTGAAAGCATCGATCTTGCCACGTTGTGAACATAGATGTTGGATGATACAACTGGTCATCAGGGGTCCAGGAGCTGCTGTTTGAGAAAATGCTCTTTTAGACCAGGGTTTGAACTGGGTGTAGGGACAAGCTGGGAGGTGGTACTGGGTGGATGAAGGGAGGGCAGAGAGGATCGATAAAGTTAATCCAAACTCCTCACCCTTGACCTAAATGTTATGGTCCTCATCCAGACCCCTTACTCATGCATTCAGCAAATATTGACTGGGCACCTACTACCTGCCAGATTCTGGCTTAAATTTTGGAGGCACACCTATGGAGCTGACTTTTTCCTGTCCTAGAGCCTTTGTGCCTGCCATTTCCTCTTCTTGGACCATTCCTCCCCAGGCTGTCTGCTTGGCTATCCTCCTTTCATCTTTCAGGTTTCAAATATACCCCCGTGGGGCTAGGTCCTTTCTGATCTCACAGGAAAAAAAAATCTCTTTATTCCTCTTCATCGTAGCAACACATTTGCTTAATTCAGAGCATTAATGACATTTGGTAATAATTTAATTATTTAAATATTTTTCTTCCCTGGTCATACGGGGAAGGTCTTTAGGTCATACGGGGAATTCCTTTAGGGCAGAGTCTTGCTCTTCTTACACAGGGCTTGGCATATAGTAGAGTCTAAACCAATATTTGTTGAATGAATGAACGATCTTTGTAGCTGTTCAGTAAATATTATTACTTAAACAAATACTCTAAACAAGTTCTTCTAACCATGGTCCTGCTGGATGCTTCAAATTCCATTCTGGAAGAGAAGGAGGAAAAGAGAAGAGAAAAAAGAGGGAAGAGCAAAGGAATAAAAAAGAGGAAGAGAAGATTGATTTTGAAGGGAAAGAGAAAAAGGTGGGAAAAGATAAGAGTGGAGGGACGGTGAAGGGAGGAGTAGGATGAGGAAGGTGGAGGTATCCTTCAGGGCAGTGCTTCTTGATGTGTGGCATTAGCATCATCAGAGAACTTGCTAGAAATGCAAATTATAGGGTCCCACCACAGACCTAAGGAATCAGAAATGCTAAGGATAGAACCCGATATCTGTGTTTTAACAAGCCCTTCTGTTCTAGTTGATGAGAAAAAGCTATTCAAATTCCAAACAAAAGCCTCAGATTGTACCCTAAACCGTGTACTAGACATTGTTTTATATTCAGGAGAGTTAATATCTTGTTCTTTTTCTCTTAACTTTCACCAAGCTCTCTGGTTACAAGAAGCTATGCAGGTGATTTAGAAGATCTTTAACAATTTTAGAATGTGTCATTTAACTATATTGGAGATCTTTATATCATATGTGTATTTTGATATTTATAACTTCTCATTAAAAATAAAGTGTGTTTGTTAAAGAAAAAAGGATCAATATGCAGCAAACTTAATAAATGCTAGACATAAGACTTCCCTCCTAGGAAGTACTTTTGTTATGCAAATCTCACTCTTTTTCCCAGATATTTTTTAAAAGAAGAGAGCAGAGCACTCAGGAGAATGTGTCAATTGAGGGCTGGCCCAGTGGCGCACTGGATAGTGCGCCGCTTAGGAGGCGCGGCAGCGCTGCCGCCCGAGGGTTCGGATCCCACATACAGACCGGCTCCCGCTCACTGGCTGAGCGAGGCGTGGGAGCAACACCGAGGTTTGCAATCCCGTTGCCGGTCCCTGGTCCGGTACGGGGGCAACACTGAGGGTTGCGATCCGTTGCCGGACACGGAACAAAAAGACAAAAGACAAAAAAAAATAAAATAAAATAAAAAAATA